AAAACTCTTTGGACCATGAAGCTGTCAGGCTGATTTATAAAGTTCACTAATAATATCCAACAGTATTTCCATCATGAAGCAACTCTGTGTTTGGTGCACAGAAATAATGCATCACTAACATTTAAGATAAGAGGCTTCATAAAAATTAGCTCCTCACTATTGCAAAATCCCTCTTAATGAGAAATCTAAACTGATACCCAGTTAGGGGCTATAGTTTTTGCAGTTTATTACGTAAATGATGTTTTAGTTTCACAAAGATGAAAAACTCTGTATTAGGCAATGCTTCCCTTCAGTAGAACCATAAAGGTATATTTTTGCTAACCTGTACACCATAATATTTTTCTATTTGCTGCCTCTTATTCAACTATAGTTGCATTTGTGGAGTTAATAGACTGGTATCCAGTGGGAAAACTCTGGTTGGGAGGGTCTGCAATGTTTTCCATTAATAAAAATTGTGTATCTATTGCTCAAATATTCATAATTTCAAACCATGTAATTTAAGTACATTGTTGATATTTTACTTTGGGGGAAGTTTGTATTTAACAAACAACATTTTCTTTAAAGATTATCAGATTTTAAATATTTTTCTTGCACGCCTCCATGAAGTATACAAACATATCCAGTATCATGTCCATCTTTTTATTCAAATTAACACACACTAGTAAAATTATATGTCAAAGCATCAAGAAGGCACACTTTTATTTTCTTAGAAAACTATGATGCCTTTGTCATTTAATTATTTGTCCAAATTTCAGTTGATCACAAGATGTGTTAAAATTTAAAAGATGCCCAAATGTGCTGAGCTCTCTCTCAGCCCTTCCCTACTTCTTGGAGTTCATTTGGGATTACAAATAATTATCTAAAGAGTAAGAACATCATACTAAAAGATAATTACTTCATTTTCCTCTGGAAAGATTGCTCCACTAATAGGAACATGTGCTTACAGGCAAAAGTCTAGTTTAAGAGCAAAACGTGATTTATTTTTCTACGAACGAGCCTGCGCACCCTGTTCATCAATACACGTCCTTACATGTGGAAGCCTTTTCCGCATGGTGCACCACTCTTCTCTGGGGGCTCTTTGAAAGTGAGCCTTTCAAGTTCATGCCCTGTGGATCCCTGAAATGTCTGGGAACTTACCCTTTGCTTTTGCCAGAGGTTTGAAAAGAGAACGCTCTGGGGCTGCACACCATTGCTGTGCAATTCATTATGGGACAAAGAACTGTCTGGGGGTTAGGCAGGCAAGCAACTAATGATCCTTCGTTTTGTCCAAAAAACATTAAGATCAATACGTGGGACATGCAACATTTATAGAACACTGTGTTTTCGTTTCCCTCTGGGGAAGGGAGAAAATGTTGGATGATCTCTTTCTGAGGATGGCTACAATGATCGACACTGTTGAGTACACATCTTTGGCCTCCCTTTCCCACCTGCTAATAGCAACACAGACATCTGATCTTTGTACCGATCTTTGTATAATTTCCTGTACCCTACATACCAGAACTCAAATAACTTGATTTTTGGCAGGTCTATTTAGCTCCATTGATCCAGGTAACCGAAATCTGGGAAAAAAGTTATAATTCAAAATGAACAGAGCTAGTTCTGGGAGACTCTCATAGGCATGAACAGTCCATGATGTATTCATTAAAATTAGATCTTTTATGAAAAGATAGAAGGAGCCCAGAGAAAGAAAGCATAAGTCAAAAGAAGTCTCTACACAAGTAACTCACACAATCTGTCAGGGATCAAAACTAAATACCACCATGAAATATATTTAACGAGTACATTGTTTCTAGAATAATGCAAATCGAAATGGAGACAGCAACATAAATGTGGTCAACGTACATGTCCTTGCAAATATCCTGAACTGTAATGTTTCTAGAATTTAAAATCCAGAGCAATGTCAAGATTTGGAGTTAAAGTGGATTTTTTCTTGTTCTTTTATAGAAATGACACAATAGGGGACTGAGAAACTAGATGACCATCTCAGAAAAAAAAACACAATAATTATAACAACATTGCATCTCCTTTAAAAGGAATCATTGCCAAGGGTGACAGAAACCAAAATGGCACTCAGTATATTTGCCCAATGACATGTGCACAGTTCCTCAAGTTGTCCCTGAATAGAGAAGTAAAGAATGTGAATTTCATACCAATGGTTCTCTACTTGCCTAGAGTAAGGTTAAAAGCAGAATTCTAGTAAGAGAAAACGACAATTGACTTAATATGCGATGTTTTCAGCAGCTCTCTTATGGCCTGAGAACCTCAGGTCATTATTGGGTCATTGTGGGTCCCTCAATCAAATAACCTTAAAGCATTATATTGGAACCACCAATGTGAGTTCTACAAAACTGCCAACTTCTGAATTCAAAGATGCCAGGTCTTGATAATGTGCAACGCTGATACATTTTTTTAAAATATTTTTTTTGAATTCTGTTTTAGTTGCAGGTAGGTTAGATCAGTTATAGTTGGTTTTAATTAGTGCTCCCACAAGCAAAGACAGTCTCTCTAAAGCTACAAAAAAAACAAAAAGTAACAAAAAAGTTAGGAAATTGGTCATTTCTTTTGAAAATACCCAAGGAATAGTTTCCAATCTGATATCAGAGCTCAGTGACATCCCACTCACAGTCTTCAAGATGGAACAGATAACTGGATTACAATATGAGTTTCTGAAAATAAGATTTCAACCACCTACAACACATAAGCAATGAGGTTCACGGAAAGCAAACAGCACACACCCAAATTTGGTTATAGCTGCTTTGACTTAGTAAAGGTGCCCAATGAGGGTATTTTACTGTTGTATCTTCCAAAATACCCACATCTTGCATTGTGTCCTCTTTTATTCCATATAAAATTTAAATATCAAAGATTAAATGTTCTGTTAGCATTTGAAGCCTTTATTAAACTCTGACTTCCAATGCATAAATTCCAGTACTAATGATGATCAATATTTTATGTGTAATTCTATAATGCTGAGTGCAAATCTCAGAAGCATAAACTTATATCTCTTAAGAGTTTTCTAACAGCACATAATTACGTTGCCTCTCATGGTCCCCTGAGATAAAAGTAAATGAGGGACTAGTAACTAAGTTCTTGCTATTCACAATGCATCCATTGGGTGTAGCTATGATATTAGATAGGTTGATATCACAGCCTGAATATTCAGGAAGAATGCCCAGACATTTGGGGATTTTTAGTGACTCTTTTTGTCTTCAGCATTAAATTGTCTTAATCAGCTGTATGTGTGATGGGGAAACCAAACACAACAGTTTCAAATCCATCAAGTCAAGAAGGATGTCAGTGTCTTTTTTTTTCTGAAAAGAAACCTAAATCACGGGGACCTGTATTAAAATTTAAATCCACAGCAATTGCTATATAATGTGCTCATTCTTAAAATGTTTATATAACCATAAAATTCACACGTAGTTTGAATGCCTTCTACATAGATAAGCATCTGTTGGATAAAATTAGATAAATAAGGGGAAAATCCTGTAACAATTCAACTCTTTAATTCAGTGATGGGTCTGAGCAGAGCATCTTAAATTGCTTCGTATGCTAAAATAAATAAATAAATAAAAAGTCTCCTAAAATGCAAGGGCAGCTTTCATGCTGAGATGTAAACTGCTAACTCTTTTCTTAACAACACCATATGTCTCCAGTAGGATTATAATGCAGTCAGTCCTAACAGCAATGCTACGCATGAAAGCTAGCCAAATGGGGGTACAGGCTTCACTGTGTGTTGACTCTGATTAACCAAGAGACGCTACTTAGGATTTCCCAGATCATCCAAGCGTGTCAGTCTGAAGGGCCTTTCTCCTTTCCTGACATCCTCCCCAAATCAACCAATCCATAAAAGGACGCTGACCTCTCCACAAAATCTTTTTTTTTTTTTTTTTGCTCAGACTTCCTCATGACCTCAATATATTTTAAGGAATTGAAATGCTCAGATCTGAACTCTCTAACCATGTGTTTTAAATAGCAGAAATGTTACATAGCAAACACCATAGAAATCCAGCTTAGAAAGATCAAAGGGAAAATATAATAAAGCTGAAAAAGTCACATTTCTCCCCTGAGAATCACTAAAAACAAAGGAGCAACAATAAGACAGCATACACTAGTCAGATATTTCTTTATCTACTCATAATTCTTTTTTAACACTTCATTCAATCTTTAATGTTTTTATGCATAAGTAAGGTGTATTTTTTAAATTTATTTACCTAGTATTAAATATGTTCCATAAATACCGCTACCAGATTAATATCAAACTGAGCAGGCATTTCTAGCTTAAGCCCTAACATGCAATATACAAGTATTCAACTCTCATACGTTGGACGTAGTTCTTAGTAGCATAAAGTTATATCATATTACGATGTGTGTGCTTATGAATTTTGCCTTGGGAAATGTGAAATGCCCTGGGATAGTCTAGATTGGAGTTCCTCAAACTATCTCTAATGAACGGAGAGCTGTAATAATTTTTTCAATATGTCAGTAACATATTTTTGTAAAATAAGAAATTATGCACCCAGATTTTATGGCAATGTCCAATTTCCATGGAAGTTTCTAAATGCTTACTCTCACTTTCTGTACTATTCTTGACATGGACTGGTAAGATACATTTGGAAACTGGCATTAGTGTGTGGACTCTACTGTGAATACCACTGTTCAGGTATTTTGTAAATTAGAAATCAAGATACCAATATTAATGACAGGAGTCATAAACTTCCTTTACTTTAAGTGCATTTGTCACTATTCTTGGCTACGTTTTTCTTCTAATTCACTTTAGAAAATTAGCAGTAGAGATTCAATAGAAAGGCCAAAGAAGAATCACCAAGGAGCTTTAGGTAGTTTTGAGAAAGAGGAGTTGCTACATAGCATTAAAAATTACACATTTATAAAAGCAAACTTTTCCCTCCCAGTAACCCACCAAGAGCCTTACTGTATTCATTCTCATTATAGCAATAAGCCTAGATACTACTGAATGATTACTTAATGGTGTTTCTTACCTGGGATGCCTGGTGGTGTTTTCAGATATTTTCCATTAAAATGTTGAATTACCACTTCACATTTTTCGGTAGACTCCATTCTGGAAAAAGAAATAAACAGGGGATCATATATTTTGCATGACGCTGTGCATATTCGGAAAAAAAAAATAAAAACAAAAAGGGAAATAGGAAAGCCATAGAAAAGCTTGATTTGAGAACTTGACCAGAATTGTCAACTGTTGGCATGACCATCATGACCAGGCCAAAGGAACATCACAATCTCATTGCCGTATTATTTACTGTATTCAAAGTTGCCTATATGGCTGGCTCTGCGCTGAGTCTTTACCCAGAAGCAATACTGAGGTCTTATTTTCTTTAAACCACACAACGTTTGGCATTTGAAAGTACTCGATAAATAACCATTGAATCTACAAATTAGCAAATTTGGAAGGTAGGTCTTGTGGGGTTTTGTTTTTTGTTTTTATTTTTTTAAATGTCTCTCTTTTATTTAATGTTTATTTTTCAACTGTAGTTGACATTCAATATATTTTTTTTTATCAGTTTCAGGAGTACTGCATAGTGGCCAGACGCTTATACAATCTGTGACGTCATCTACCAGACAAGTCCAGCACCTCCCTGGCACTACACAAAGCTATTACAACATTATTGACTATATTTTGTTATTGCTCTTCATATCAATGAGGGTGCTGAGGTGTAGAGAGATTAACTCCCTTGCCAATAAGTGGCAGAGTGGATTTTAACTGAGGCCTGCCTGACACCAGAGCTGTACTGTAACTGCTAAGCTATACTGCTGGGGAGACATGCTTTATTTCAACTGCTTGCAGCCTAAAGGGATGATTAATAAACTAGTGTTGTCACTGGCACCGTGGCACTTTTGCTGAAAGCCCATTGGGTGAAAGATACAAAAGAGAATTATTTGGTGGCCCAAATGTGAGATGAGAACGTAAATACACAAACCTGAGGTCCTGAACTTTCTTAATTTTGAGTTTGGAACAATCCTCTATGTTTTTATACTAGATAGCAATGTCCCTAAACTGGGTTTCTTGTGCCACATTTTGTCATTTCACATAGAAGCCAATGAATGAATCTTTTGAGCCATACCACCATAATGTCAATATTGGCAGTGTTGATACGTCCTAAATAGACTAGTATCAGCAACACTTTCTAAGTAATTAACTGTACCTGGGCTTTATTATTTTATAAAATTGGATGAGAAAGATAGAAATTAAAGGGTTGATTCTGATGAAAGGAAATTAAGTCCCACAAACAGCAATTAGAGACAAAAATAAATTTAAGAGACAGAACGCAAACATATGGAAGAATGTGTATGAAATTTGTCTAAAAGGCAAAATATAATTTTGGGTTTTCTGCTGTGTTGTAAATATGAGCTTTCTTGGAATGGAGCCCTTTGACACAAGTTATAAAACTTTCCTACATCTGAATCTTATGTGTGTTTTCAGGATTGTATTATATGACCATGTTACACGTAGAGCATACAAGATAAGAAAAAAAAGTACGTCAACAAATGCCAAATACGTTTATCATGGCTATAGGGATTGAAATGTGAGAGGAATTCCAGAAGCCAGGAAAAGAGTGAGAAGTCAGCATAGAAGGCCAAGAGGTCCCTTGGAGAAGTGACTAGGGCAGCGGACTGAGGTGGGCAGGTGAGAGGGGCTGTGTCTTTCCAGATGGGGTAGAGTGAGAAGGCCACTATGGCTGGAGGGAAACTCTTGGAGAAAAGCTGAGAGATGCAGACAAGGGCATCTGAGTTACCCGGTTAAGGACTTTGAAGAAGGTACCAGAGCACATTCCATTTGGGGAGATGAAATTATTTTCTGACTCAAATTTTTAAAAATTTCTTTTCTGCTATACATTCCTATGAGGCATGGGATGGATGAACATTTTTCTGTATTGATACCCATGCCAAATCTCTAATTACCAAGCAGGACTGACTTCACAGGCCTGAGACACGCATAGAACCACTAAGCCACAGTCTTAGAACAAGCCTGTACTTGGTTGAAAACTCTGTTGTCGCCATCTTGAAATTCTTAATAGTTTCCTAAAAAGGTGTCCTGCATTTTTATATTTCGCTTGGTCCCACAAATTTTATAGCTGGTCCTGCTATGACAAGAAAGTGCAGGAAACTAATTGGACATTAATAGGTTAGTATTCATTCATCAGATGGCTTAATGGATCCACATAAGTGTTATTTCGAGGAAGATCTGAATAATGAACCAATTTGCTGTCCAACAGGGTGGGGGTACTTTAAGCTTAATAACATGCAGCTTAAAAAAAAACCCAAAAGTTAAACAAACAAAGATAGCATTTTATTTACTGCTTAGTTACAAGTTCCCTCAGACCAGAAGATATTTGGGTTAGAAGGGTATGATGAATCTTTTCCCATTCCAAATATTTAAGAGTATCAAAGTAACAATTTTCCTAATGCCTCCAAGTTTTCTTTCTGGTGGAATCTTTTACAGTAAGTCTTCCAACTTTTTTTTTTTTTTAGTAGGAAACTTCCATTTCTAGGAACAAAAGAATTCTAATTCTGTTCTTTTTCTCTTCCCACAGGATCTACTATCTATTGTCTCTTAGGGAAAATAACCTTCCCTCCTAGCAGAGACATGAATGGGAGAGGAAATGTAAGTCCTTAATTACTACAGATGTTACTTTATGGAATTTTTATTCCAGGAGAGCTATGGAATGAAAAGCGTATGCCCCAGAGCCCCCTCCCTGTTCAAGCTCTCTCTGGGTACTCATCTAGATAAAAGGCAGTTAAGACTCTAAAGCTTGCTTGCAAGGAGTCCTACAAATCAAATCCTTTCTCTTTGTCTTAAAATGACATGGAATTCTAAATGAAGACTAAAACGAGCTGTGTGTGTGTGTGTGTGTGTGTGTGTGTGTGTGTGTGCGCGCGCGCGCGCTTGTTGATGCTCCACAATGTGTTTTAGGGAATTCAGAGAAGCTAAAGAAGAAAATCAAGATACTAACCCACTCGACCCACCTAAAATATTTTTGTTCTGGTTGGAAAGCCTCAAGTCTTCCCTTTTGGATTCTAAGCATGATCGCCTTTTCTTAAGACTGCTTTACAGCCATATCAAGCTGGATGGGGGCTGTTTCTACGAACACAAAGACAGCAGCATAGATTGTTCACTTTAGCTTCATTCAGATTTAACTAAGTGAATGTCTACAGTGAGGCTTTAGAGACTCTCATCTCTGAACGAATAAATGCAATAAAAGTCTGTTTTCGGTAGCTGCCGGCGCTTAGTGTCAAAGCATGTTATGCTGCACCGCCCAGCAGTGACAATTTCATTTTAATGCACGGGGCACATTTTAACAAGGCGAAACAGTCCCAGGAAAGACGGCAAGCAACACAGGAGCTGCCGAGGGGAAAGGCTCAGTGCTCCTCATGCATTTTCTGTGGGAGCAGAGCAAAAGTGAGCCCCACGGAGCTTTGGGGGTGGGGGTGGGGCAAGAAGAGACTGCCTTTGAATAGCTACCGCTGAAGAATGTGCCCATTTTCTTCTCAAGTTTCACAATTAACTGCTTTGAAATGCCAGCTCGAGCTATCTGCAATCTGGCACACGCTTCAGTTGAAACTGACACTAGCATTATCAAGTGTGTCTGCAAAGGCGGCACGCCAGACAAAGCTGCCTTTACATGTCCCTTTCAGATGGGCCACTGAATCACTACAACTGCATCTATTCTTCCCAGGTGGTACCTGAACCCCCTCATGTCCCTCGGAACGGCTCGCGTGCCAGGCCAACCATTCGCCCGACGATACATTAATTAGGTTCTTACAAGGCTCTAATCATTGTATAAAGCTTAAGGGTTTTCTGTTAGGTCTGATGTTTAAATATAAGTACACATTAAAGGTCCCGTTTGACATTCTTTCTTGTCTCAGTGTCTAGGAACCTGGCTTCCGTCATTCAAAATGCACCATAGAATTGTGATTTCTTTTTTAACTTTTTTTCAACAGCTACTAAAAGGAGCTAGTTTCACAGCCAATACAATTCCCCCAGGCCAATTACATCAGATGAGAGCCTATTCCAAAATTAGTAGAATGTTCTGGGTCAGACTTTACATGCAGAGGTAAAAAAGTATTTTGCCAGACCTTTGCAGCCTACTTGTCTCTCCCCAATGGAGAATCTCTCAATTTATGACCTTAAAGCAGTAAGTATTATTAACCATGTATTTAAAACAAATCCTCCCTGTCGTTATTTATGGTTAATTAGAGGTTTCCACTATTGTGAAATTTTTGTGGTTTTGCAATCACAGGCTCTGTACAAATTATTGGCAACTTAGAACATCCAACGCGGCAAGCCAGTCATCCCTCATTTCCGGTAAGATTTACGCAAAGGGTCAACATTAAAAGATTTTTTAAAGTACTAAAATGTGTACTGCTGACATTTCCAAAACAAATGATTTCATTTACTTCTTAATCCACTGTAACTGAAGGGATGACAATGGGTCCCAGGAACAAAGATGAGTGAATGAGTTGAATTTTCTTCTTAGCGTTTGCAATTTGCTTTCTTCCTGCCAGGTTCTTGACATTCTTAGGATACAAGTATCCTAAGTGCCAAACGATGAAGCCAAGTGGCCTCCCTGCTGTCTCCATCTTCAGAAACCCAGACATTGGAATAGTGTTTTGCTCAGCATTATAACACATTTCTTGGAGGGAATAGAACTGTGGACAATATTTAACTAATGAAAATCCACTCCAGAGGTCTGGAATAACATAATTAGAGGACTAGAAATAATCTCTACATTGTACAGATGAAGAAATTACCACTAGAGAAGACTTTGTTTGGCTTCCCTGAAAGCTAGTTAGTGGATGCGCCTGGCACAGAATTCCTGTCTCTTGACTTTTGGATCAGGTGGCTTATTTGGAAGAGACGGAGCTCCCTGGCTGGCCTCATGTGATCCCTCCTGATCTGTTCTGAAGCTGGATGGCTTCTGCTAGCTCTACTCCATCCAGTGGCTATTAACCAGAGAGGTTGTTCTAAAAAAATTGAATATACACTACTATGATATTACTAGAAGGGCACTTCACCTGTATGGTATTCTTTCCAAAAACTTA